AACCTCAAATCTTCCTCTGAAAAGGTAGGTAATTCCTAAGTAGAGAGAGAAGTCAGCGTTGCTGCTCTGCCTCTGTGTTCGTGAAGAACAGGATGCTGAGAAACAGCATCTTTTTCTGGTGAAGGCCCAGGGTAACGTGGCGGTTGTGGCAGGGGAGCTGGATGGGGGCCAGATGGTGATGGGACGTGTTGAAAGGCCAGGCTGTTCTTGGAGATGATCCTAGTCTGTGCCTTTGCTTGGGACACTGGCTTGAAGGGAGCATCAGGCTGGTGGGCTCCTCTGCCGGGGGGCGACGGGCAGTGCCGGGCGGAGGGACCAGGGAGACAGCGGGAAGAGCTGCAGTAGCAGAGGCTGGAGGAGCAGAGATGAGAGTATTTAGTGCAGAACACAAGTGTGGGCATGGGTCTGTTGGAGGCTTTTGATGATAGCTGGGAAACTGCATCAGCTGGATGCAAGATGCCAAGTAGAAGTGCTCGGGTGCCCTGTTTGGTTATGGGGTGGAGAAGAGCCCCCAAGCTGATGTGACAGAGAGGCAGATGTGACCTCAGCCAGAAAGTCAAGTCATTCTCAGTGCAAATAGGGAGGTTTTAGTGCTGTTGTACAAGTGAGACCTTTCCAGAGACTGCTGTGTGTCCTGGTTGCTCCTCTTAGAGAAAGAGGGGTTGAAATAGGATGATGAGTAAAAGGGAGACCCAGCTCTACCGAAGGGCAGGAGGGTGCCTGCTGTGTAGGGTCACAAGTGTGAGCATCGGTTGTGCTAGGCCTGAAACCAGAAATCAAATAATCCTGGCACCAAGAGCTCTGAGCAATATATCTGTATCACTTCTGAGGCTTGATTTAGTGTCTCTTCAAGGTACTTGAGACAATTTGCCTTGCACTTTGCTGCTCGGTACAGATGTGCTGTGTTAGGAGAGCTGGCCTCGTATAACTTGTAAATGATGGTGGGGAGGATTTGACTCTCACTTGTAAGCACCTTGCAAGGAGTCAGGAGAAATACCAGGAAAGGAGAAGAGCTGCTTAAGCTAAGACAGTTTTGATGCAAGAGCAGGTGGTTGGGAGTGCATTTAAGCAAGAAAGGAGAGGAGCAATGGTCCAACGTGTTGGTGCACGTATAGAAGTAAAGCTCTTCAGTAATTTTTAGGTAAAGTTTGATCAGTCTGTAAAATGTATAATATGTACATTATTGCATAATAATATGTAAATTTTGTAATTAATAATGCATGTATTAATGTATAATGTAACACTCTGCAGTGCAGGCAGACTGAAGGACTCAGCAGGTCCCTCCAAGAAGACATGAGGTGGTAGGAGGCAAAAATTTAAAACCAAACCAAACAAAAACCTGCTGATGTCAGCACTATTAGTGATGCGGCTTTGTGATATTGATTAAAAAATGGAAAAGACTTTAGAAGGATGTGTATGTGGTGAGCACTCACGATTCAGGAGTTGTAAAGTATGGTATTGGCCTTGGGGCTCTTGCATCTCGCAGAAGAGCTGTGTACCTTGGTAATAAATGAAGATTGCTGCAGGAATATAATAGCGAAATTTGCAGGGAGGGAGGGAGTTACTGCGTTCCTTCCAGGCTCAGGAATTTAAGCAGAGGAGAAGGGAAGGTCTCCATCTTCAGCAGTAATAGGGCAGATAGGAGCTTTTTAGGACAAGCAAAATGCTGGGAGGAGAAGCCAGAGAACCAGTTTGGCATCCTGAAGGACCTGAAAAAAAAACATTTAAGGATTAAGTGTGTTGGGAGTCTTTTATGTGCATGGGTTTTTTTTTTTGTTGTTATTGATTGCAAAATTGCAGCAGTTGCACAAGAAAGCAAACAAACCAATCACAGCTTTACCCTTTGAGCTTTGGAAATAAGATGCACTTGTTTTGTCTTGTTCTTAAACTGCATTCAGATGAATCCTGATGGCGCTGAGGTACTCTGTTCTCTTAAGCAATGTGGATGCAAATAAAAAGCTGTTCCAGATGCGTCCTTGGGGTGCCTGTGAACCAAGACCCGTTTGCCACCTCTGGGATCTGGGTGGGTTTAAAGAGATTAAAAAAGGGGAAGAGACATTGCTGGGGATCCCTGAGAAGGGCAAAGCTGTGCAGATGCAGAAATCTTCAGAAGAGACTTGAGAAGTGTCTCTATGGCAGATAGTATCATCTTGGATTAGATACACGGTCTAGAAGGGGAGCTCGGTCCTGTCTCTGTCTCTGTGCAAAGCGGCCGCTGCGCTGTGTGAAGGTGCTGCTCCTCATTGCAGCTCCTGCTTCTCCCTTCCTGGGTACCCTGTGTGTGTGTTCAACAACTTCCCAGGGTGTCTGGGCAGGAAGGGTCGCTGGCCACCTCAGGGAGGCTGGAGCACAGGCTGCAGGGTTGTGTTTAGCCTCGTGTGGTGTCGCTTCTGGCCTGGTTGGGCTGGAGACACGGGCAGTCTGGGCCAGCGCTGTGGCCTTCGTCTCCCAGGCCGTAGCTGCTCTGCACCGTTTTGTGGGTGGAAATGGATGTATTAATTTTGAGACAGGAGTGAGTGGGCCGAGGGACTTGTGCTTTTGCCAGTGCATTTCAGCACTCACTATTGCAACGGCCCAATACCCCAGAGCGGACTCCTAAGTCTTGCTCGTGCCTGTTGCTGGGAACAAGTGGAGGCCTCCTCCTACCTGTACTAAAATGCTGCCTGTGTGGCTTTCAGTATAAGGTCAAAAATAACATTACTTTTTTTAGCAAATGCATAGTCAATGAAACAAGAGCTAATCTGGTCTCCTTCAGAGCTGAGGTTGCTCCACAGTTGCTGCCCTGGACTGCTGCTTCTGCCCCCAGGGCCAGGGATCAACGTGGCACCTGCCTCCTACCCTTCTCTGTCTTTTTCTTGGAGGACCCTCTCATCTCAGCTTTGGCAATGGCAGGTGGGAAATGTCTTCAGTCGGTGTCTCTGGCCTTGTCTAGAGTGATCAGGCCGATTTTTTGAAGTCCCCAATAAACCTTGTGCCCCAGAACCTGATCTCGTGGTGCTGCATTTCCTCCAAGCTTCATCCAGCCATCGAGTCTCAACAGATGCCTCCCAGTCTGCGCTCTGTCCTGCAAGTTGTTGCAGGAGCTGTAGACGTTGGCAGTGAATATGAGATTGCTCCAGTAATGCCCTGTTCCTCATCCTCCCTGGGGTGCAGGCAATCCAAGCTGATCAACAGGTCATTTGGGATGAACTGTAACTTCATAGAATCAGAGAGTCATTAAGATCGGAAGGGACCTTTAGAGATCATTTAGTCCAACCCCCCAACTTGTTATCATTCCGTGTCCTTTTCTTGCATCCTTACAGTAACTGCTCTGGATATGTAGACAATTACAGAACATGTGAAAAGCAGAGATGACTGGGGCCTCTGCTTTTCTTAGATTTTCATGGCGAGAGAAGATAAACATATTTAGCTTGTCCTGGGTTTGGATTTTGGATTTTTTTCCCCTGTTAAATGGATGATGTGGGATATGGTTCAAATACCCATTACATGGATGATGTGGGATATGGTTCAAATAGATCCATGCACTTTTCTCATCAGTTCATCTATTCTTATACATTTTTTTTCTCAAGAAATAGTGAGTGCTGGGGGAGGGATGTACGGTCCCCTTGATCGTGCTGGAAGTGGCAGAAGATTCCCTTTCCGCTTACGCTCTGGATCAGGTGGTGTCCTCCAACCTCCTCATCAAAGCGATGCGGCTCTCGGCCTTGACTAATTCACCCTGAATCAGTGGAAACCATCTCTGGGGCTGAGATGAGGGCCAATTATTGCATTAAGGCAAATGTGAGTTTGGCTGCACCCGTTCCTACACTCTGAACTGGGCTCATCTTCATGGATTGTCTAAGGGGACTGGCCGAATGTTTTTACTTCTCTTGATTTTTGACAGAGGATCCTCCTGAAAACCCTAGTACTCCCTGCTGGGGAGGTGTCCAAGTTTAATCACAGAGGCTGATCAGGCTTTGTGCTTCATGAGGAGTACAGCTCCCAACAATTTTTATTGGGGTAAAACTCAGGAAAAGCCTCCCTGCTTCCTTCAGGACATGGGTGCTGGATCTCTGCTGCCTGCCCTTTGCAAGCAGCGGCATCAGTTGCTTTCTGGTCCCTCCTTCCAGCTTTGTCAGGACAGGAGCCGATGTCCTGGGATTCTCCTTCAGGTGCTGTGCTGCACAAAGCCACCCATAGCTTTTAGCCCTGTCACCGCTCCTTTGTGGACCAGTTCAGCCCAAAAGCCACCCAAAAGGGTGAGGAGGCCACCGCAGCGAGCAGGCGGGCAGCCCTGCTCCGGTGCCATCAACGAACAGGGACCCTGTTCCCTGGTGCTGTCTATCTGTTGCCTTCCCCCAGCTCTAATATTTACTGAATAACGATCCTGCAGTGACAGATCTATTTCTGTTTTCATTCTCTATAACATACCTGCCAGAACGCCCCGGGCGACTGAGGAATTTATAATAAAGACACAGTTTCCAGACTAAGTTTGGTGTTTTCCTGCCAGCAGGCTGTTTGCTCCAGCCTGTAGAGACCAGGACCTGTTTGGCAACCCTACTGAGCCTGGATAAATACATGTCTGATCTGGGATTTTTTTCCCCTGTGTTTTTGTTGAGAGACTTTATTTACTTTTTTTTCCCCTGAACTGTCTTGATCAGGTCTTTAGTTTACCAATGTGCACAGTGAGGTCTGGAGAAGAAAAATGAATTAGCCAAGGACATGTGATGGATTGGTTGCACGTTACATGCTAGAAACCCTGGGTAAAGCCATGTTATTTGGCTTTCCCAGAGTGCTGGGAAAACAGAATAAAATAGAAAGCAGCATGAGAAACTGCTTGTTTTGGCAACGTGATGCATACCATGTGTGTCTGGGGATGTGGATGCTGAAGCCAGAGCAGGTCCCAGACCTCTTGTGTTACAAAGCTTTGGCCGAAACGAGACGGAAAGAGATGTGGATCAGGAGGTAGGATACAGACTGCTCCACGTGTGCTGTCCACTGCATGTTGTGCCACTGCTGAGTCTGTCCTTCCTCTCCACAGACACATAGAGAACTGGAAGAACTTGCAGACGCTGAATGCTGTAGACATGGAGCTGTACACCGGACTCCAGAGGCTGTGAGTATGTCTTGTGTTTCGGGGAATGGAATGACACTGGGCGGCCCCTTCCTTCCCCAGCAGGAGGTCCAGCAGAGACCTGCCCTTCCCTTCTGTCTGTTGCCTCCACCCTGTGATGCTTGGAGCTTGCTAGTTGTTGGCGCCACAGTATTTTTCTGCGAGACTTCACAAAATGGAGATGAAGGGCTTTTTGGTCCTTGCTGGATCTGTGCGAAGGAGATTGCTAGCTCTTGACAGCTCTGTCAGCATACATCAGCCTTGACCTCCCTCTCCCTGCTATTCTGGTGCTGGGCTTGTGCATTGTTCTGACTCATTGCAGCCCTACAATGAGAAATTCCAGCTGTCTTTATCAATCCTTCAGCACTGGGCTTTTGGGTCTCCGTTGCTGCAATTGCCATCATGCCCGATGTCCCATTGTCCCATCATGTCCCACTGCTGCCTGAAAAGGGAATTGCATCCCCTTACACAGCCCTCAAAGCACAGGGAGAAGACACCTCTGCGTGTGGCGGGGGGGGAAACCGGGGTCCCCAACAGGTTGCCAGCCCCTTGAGCAGCCTGGCCAAGCGAGGGGGACAACCCACCCTGCACAAATTCCCCCTCTGCACTGCAGGCAGCCCTGCCCTCGCCGGGGCTCTTCCTACGAGACCTGCAGCGCTGCTGGGGGTTAATTTGAGACCCTCCTAATGTATTTCACAGGCAGCTTTACATTAGCTACCATTTGACCGCAAGCGAGGGGAGAGGCGTTTAGTGCTGAGCGCTGGTAACCAAACCCCGGCGAGCTGGGCACTTAACGCGTCCCCTCTGCACGCAGGCTGCCTGCCGCTCCTCAGCTAGCCCGAGAAGCAGCAATGGAGTCGGGTGTGTTTTTGTCTGTAGCAGATATTTAATAAATCATGGTCATAGCGCTGATACAGCTTCTCCAAACAGAGAAAGATGGATGGAAAGAGAATCCTGCTGCAATATCCATTTTGCCCTGCACAAAATGCTTGCCTGTCCTTCTTGGTGCTTTAAGCAGAGGGATTTTCTCTTGGTTTGAAACACGTTGGGTTCTCCGCAGCACTGCACACCTCACTGCAACCCCTGAAAAGACAAATTTCCTCTTGACTTGTGAGCACCTGTCTGAGGTGGGGTCTGCCTTCCGTTAGGGTTGAGGGCTCCAGAGTGCTGGTGTCTGAGTGTAAAGCAGTGCTCAACCTCAGCCCCATCTCTGTCCTCTCAAATCTCTTTGCAGGACAATCAGGAACTCAGGGCTACGAAACATCCAGCCGCGGGCGTTTGCGAAGAACCCCCACCTGCGCTACATGTGAGTTGAACTGGTTCCTGCCTCTCTTTCCTTGTTTCTGCTCCCTGGTCTTTTGGATCCTCTTGAAAGAGCCATCTCCAAAGTGTCCCTCCATCAGGAGAGCAACACAGAGGGAGTGGGAGGCATGAAAGAAGCAGGGGAGCAATAGCTGGTGGTTATGAAGGACACGTGAAGATGCTGGGAAGTGAAAGGGGCCCTGGTGTAGGGATGAGGGAGGCTGGAGCACAGACTGGCTCTCCTGCTGACAGGTTTTGGTGCCTAATCACAGGGCCAGCTTTGGCCCTTCTAATGAGCACCAGTATCATTAGCAGCCTTGCTGCGGGGGCAAATTTCCCTTTCCATGGAGGTCATGGGCTGCGAGTCGCTCACGGCCTGCGCCCGCCCGTTAGCTTTGCACCAATGCGGGGTTTCCAGCACAAATCTCTCTTCTGGGCCTGTGCCTGCCAGCTGTGCTCTTAATTATTAACCCATTAAACTGGCAGTGGGCTGGTGTAGGGAGCTGCTTCATGCGGCAGGGTGTGATGAGGCAGAGGGATCTGAAGCTCCGGAGCGTGGCTGCAGGAGAGAACGTGTCCTTGCACAAGCATCCACCGGTCCCAGGCCCGGAGAGTGGTGTGTCAGGGAACTCCAGTGCTCTTGAGGCTGAGGAGGTTGATTTCTTCTCTCTGGGTGTTTATTTTTCCCAAGGCAGTAAGTGGAGGTCTGCTGAGGGTGCAAAGCACTTCATGGCCTTGAGACAACTCATCCAAGTGACTGTGTTTGAGGTCACCCCCCTCTTTTGGCATGAAAACAGGGTTGGTGAGAGGTCTCGGCCTTGGGAGTGAGCTCAGGAGCTGGTGGAGGGTGCGCGTCTCCCTGCTTTACACAGACCAGTGCTAGTGGCTCCTGCCATGAAAGCAGTAGTAAGCCCCTTTATTTTCATTTTTTGAAATAGCTCAGTTTCACTCTGCAAACCCATATGCCCATCGATATGGTCATGTTACTGGTGAAGGGAGATAGATGCAACCTGCAGAGCAGGATATATTTGTCTTTTGATGCCTGCTCAGAGATGATGCAGGCCCCAAAAGCTTCCTTTTTGGAAAACCAGTTCCAGTTGCTAAGTGACAGTAAAGTGCTTCCTAAATAGGAGAACTGCAGTACCAAAGGGCATGAATAGTTACGGACATTGTGAACAAACACAGGGCCTTTTTGAGTCTAAAGAAGGGCGTATTTTGTTATAATAAAACCTCCGTAATGCTGACCATTGGGATTTTCCTGATTTCTGTTCCCATTATTTTGATTTGTGGTGGTTAATGTTATTTTTGTAGCTGTTTGTTAGTGGAAAATGGTCTCTCTGAATGCCTCTCCCAATTGATTGTTTTGTTTTGTTCTTGTTTGTTTTTTGAGGGTGGTTTTGTCAATTGTGCAGTTGTTTATGTATGTAACAGATAGTGAAAAATATTAGTTTCTTATAATGTTAGTTTGGGCATTCATAGCCTGGAAGGCCACATATGGACATTTTGGGCCTGGGTGTGTGTTGTTAATATGTTAGGTGCAATTGTTGCTGCTTTTCCAGATAGCTTTTGGTTTTGTCAGTTGAGATTACTTTTGAGATGGAAAAAAAAAACATATCCATCTTGTGTCAAGAGCTAAGGTTGGTGTGTTGTGATGAAATATGTGTTTGTTTACTGCTTGGGCCATGTAAGATTTATCATGTTCTTAACATCTTTCTTTCCTTGCCTTTTGAAGCTCGAGGCAAGTAACTGTATTATTTAGTTAGTGTCTGCTAGTGGGTTTTGATGCTGTTCTGAGCTCCTGCACCGCGGCCTCGGTCCGCAGCTCTTGGCAGGGTGGCCGCGAGGCCGCCGCTCGGCTCGTGCGACGCGCGAGGGCCCTGGGGACGGAGCCCTCTGCGCCTGGCCCTGCGATGCCAGCTGGAGGCCCTGTGTGTTTGCAGTGTGCCGGTATGGCCATCGTGGCACCAGGCACCCAGTTTTCCACGGCACCTTGGCACTCTGCTCCTTTCTGCTTGAAGGCTCCATGTTCATAACTTTGAAATTCCTCAGGATGGAGGACGGGAGATGAGATGTGTGGTGCAGGACCGGGATCAGGATACACTCATTCCAGTGTCACTTAGGCAGCCTAGACGCTCCCCTTGCCCTGGGCTTGTGACTCCCACATCTTCTCTGGGGAGACAGGGTATTCCTTGGCCCTGGAGCAGCCTCATGGGCATCTGGTGCTGCTCTGGCACCTCTACGGAGAGCAGGTCCATGGGATGGGGCCAGCGCAGCCGGGTGTCTCCTCCGCTGCTCTCCAGCCGCTATCTCAGAAGGACTCAGCTTGCTGAGGGCCTGACATTTTCTGCAGCCGCTGCACGCAGGCGCCAGGATAAAAGGATTAATGGAAATGTCACTCTGCTCTAAATCTTGGGCTGCCATAACTGGGTACAGTAGCTGACAAGAGCAAGTGATACTGTCCCTAACCCCTTGCAGCAGAACAGGCTGCTGATGGCTGCAGCTGGATGGATGCGGGAGCAGGACTGGGGCCAGCTCGTGCTGCGCTCCTGGCTCATGGAGGTACCGCTGGGAGAAGCCATGCAGGCCCCATTGCCTTGGTTTTGCTTCCTGTTTGGATGGTTGTGGATGAAGAAGTTGCCAAGCAGAAGATGTGCCCAAGAAAGGATCAGGGGCTTCATCACCAAGGTCCTGACACAGGGCAATGGGGATTCCAGACTGGACCTTCCTTGGATGCTACAGGCTGGTTCCAAGGAGCAGCAGGCATTTTCTGACTGAAGCTTGTGTGCACATTTGGGATTCAACTGCTATTTTTTTCTTCCCTCTCCACTCTAGGTTAATTCCATCTCCCCTCCAAGGAAGAAGTGACTTCCTCCCTTCCCCCTGTGCTTTTTAGCAAGATTTTCTCCTCTCAGATGGGCCAGATAGCTCTGCCTGCTCCCATCAGCTTCTATTTCTGGCCCTTCCACAGTGCACGCACTTGTCTTCAGACCCCAGCTGTGCAATCACAAGCAGATCACTTATCCCAGCTCTAATTGCAGGAGCTCAGATTTGTGGGAGTTTTATAATGGTTCTGGATGAGAACTTGGCTTTCCCCCCACCCCTTCCCCATCACAGTCGGGGAGGAAAGGTGAAACCATAAAGAGATTTTTTTCAGCCTTCAGCTGCCTAAGGGTGGATGTCAAAGCGCTCCGGAGCGCAGCCTGGCAGGGTCATCCCTGTCCTTAAAAGTTTAAATGAGGCCCATAAGAGTGAGGGGCTTGAGGCCAATCTAGTGAGGGGAGGAGCAGTGAGCAACTGGAAATGAGAGCCCATGTTGAGCTGTCATCCTATAAATAGCTTTGGAGCCCTGCTGTCTCTCTGGGAAAGGAGAGAGCCAGGACTCCACGACCTGTCTGATCTTCGTGACTCTGAGGTCTACCAGCGATAGAGGCAATTATCCAAAGTGTAATGGTGGGATTTGCAGCGTGCGTCTTCCCTTCCTGCTGGCAACGGAACGGAGACTCTTTCCACAGTGAGCACTGGCCAGCAGCTGGGTGCAGATGGATGTGGGTCTGACCAGAACAGGGTGTAACCCAGGGTCTTTTTGCACCCTTGTTCTGAAGGTTCTGAAGGTCGTTGGCTGGTTGTCTGGGTGGGTTAGCGGTCCCATTCTTGTGCTGTGTTTGATGGCCACTTGGTTAATATGAGGGTGCTTCCTTGCTGTACTCTGGATTTGAGGATCAGCAGCTCTAGGCTTGAGAGCCTTATAGCCAAAATCCATTGCAGTTAGTGTTAACGGGATAGCCAGCTGAACATAGGGAACATCTAGCATCGATAGAAAACCTCAGCCCTTGGCTTGAGGCTGTGCAGAGAAGGCTTGAGGATGGCATGGCCCTAAACTTGAGACGTGTAACCCATGTCACTGTTTAGCACAGCTTTTGGGAAAGTCTTGCACATGATTGCTCTCCGTCCTTCTCCTAGGAACACTTGAATGCTTTGGCCAGTTCTAATTGAACCTGATAAGGGATCACAGATCGCAAGGTATATTAAGTTCCTATGTGTCTCATGAAAATAGGCAGGGGAACAGTAGAGGAAAGAGACGTTATAATGCCCTGTGGGGAAGAACACAGCTGTATGATCCTTGTTAGGCACTGGGTAGTTCTTATGAGAACTTGACTTCACAGCAAAAAGGCATCAGGAATGAGATTTCAGTAGAGGACAGAACCTCTATTCCTTCCAGCCTTCACTGGCCGCTGCTTGGAGAGCAGAGCTATGGATGAAGGAGAGAAGGTATTTGAACAAATTGCACCTAGGACTTGGACAAATTGACATTCACAGTGCCCATGTCCCCCTTTACAGGGAAACAGGTACTTGCTAAGGGTTTGCAGCTCCCTCTAAATGTTTTCCTGGGTGGCTGCGTACTCAGCCAGCCAGGCAGGATGTACTCGCTTGTATTTGCAGAGGGTAATTGCACACACCTTATTTATTGTGCAGTAAAGAAAACAAATTAAGGCTCTGCAATTAGAGAGACAGGCATCCTTTTAAATAAGACTTAAGTAGTCAGATTTCTATTTAGAAAATTAATAATTGCCATTTCTGCCTGCATTCAGTGGCTCTTTTTAAACTGTCTTCTGGAGGTTTATATGCACTCTAAATTGGTTTGTGGGCTGGCCAAGGCACAGCTCCTGTCAGAGAGCTTTCTTTCATCACTGCCTGTCAGAGGAGGGATGAGGCTGAAGAAAAAAGCTTTCTCTTTGGGTCATCACCCAACTATCTTAAAGATGGAGGTCTTGGATAAGGCCAGAACTGCAGTAGAGATCTTGGCACAAGCTCTAAAAGAGTCCAGGAACCACTGGAAAACTGGAAGTTTTCATTGTCTTTGGGTGTTCTGTGCGGAGTGTGATCAGCTCTAGGGCGTTGTATGGCCGTGCTGTTTTTTGCTTCTAGGATTTTATCATCTGCGTGAGCCTGTTATTTTTCTCCCGAAGATGTGAATTTGTCAAAAGATGAAAATGCAAATTTGTA